GCTAAATGAGTTCAAAACAATTGCAACCCGGCCACTTTTTATTTACGTATGACTGCTGGCAGAGAACTTAGACAGCAGAACAACAACAAACGTCGAAGTTCTTTTTATAGCAAAGCAGCGCAACGCTTCGTTGGTAAGTGTTGTCTTTTTCTTTTGTTTTATTTAAGAAAACAACATCGATGTGTGACATACCCTGTAGTGAAAATCCAACCTAGTCAGTAAAAATACCAGTTCATTAACTAGTTTGAGCTGAAGCGATGGAGACATCTCCCATTGAGTTGTCAACGGCAAAAATAAGCAGCAATAAATTGCTTTTCTTAGAAAATGTCAGCTTTGGCGTCGAGGGCAAACTACCTACCGATTCTGGTTCTGAGATCGCAAAACGACATTCTTGTTCCTTTTACGGAGGATGAATTGGAAGACTACCCCATCAACAGCTATACTACTAGTATTTCTACTGGTAAATGCTGATGCGTAGCCATAGAATTGACATCAGCAGACGCTTACATTGAAAAAGGATAGAACTTGAACTAGTTAGGCTGAAATGTAAATTGTTACCATTCTAATTCACAACAAACAGCGTTCCCTGCTGGGTATATACATATCGTTAGTATAGTATGGAAAGGGCGTATCTCACATCGTTGCTGAAAAGCAAAAAAGCCACAAATAACTAAAATTTTGTATTGCATAAAATGATGTGGGGCCTTATACTTCGATGAAATGCATCATAGTCAATCAAAAGGTGAATTTTGGATTTTTAGTCAGTTACGGCTTTTTGTATTTCAGCGACGCTGTGAATTGCGCCCTTTCCATACTATACATATGTACTAACGATATATATGTACATAAGTACATGTGTTGATACAACTAAGCCTATGTACTTACATACATACATATGTACCAGGAATGTTGCGAATATTTGCATTCGCAGTCGTTATGCGAATGATTTGCATCATTTTACATATTCATCAAATGATATGAATGTTTTGCGAATGCGAAAGTGTACATGGGCAGAGAGTCCACTCTAATATTGTTGAAATGGGTCGAAGTCTATCTAACCAGAGTGCGGGCAATAACCGTATTTTAGCTTCAGGCGCTAAACGGTTAAGCAGTGTATCAAGCAACAATGGTGGGTCTTCAACAGGTACTGCTAAAAGTCTTATAAGCAACCTAGAAATAATTTTCGATTCCTCCAACGAAAGCGAAGGTTCGGATGTAGAATCAGTAGGCATTAAAAGATATGAAATTAAAGCTAATTGAAGCCTATTAAAGAAAAACAGCTAGTTCTAGAAATTTACAAAATTTTTAAGTAATAAAAACGATTACTTAAGTCGATTGTAGCTTTTTAAATTATTTTCCTAACATTCGCATTCGAATTCGCACATTCGATTCCGAAAATTCGCATTCGCTAATATGAAAATTGACTTTCGAAACATACCTAGTTGTACATATGTATGTATGAGTAACATATGTTTGGTTAAATTTTGCAAACAATTTTTGACCAACTTCCCGATTACTAGACCCCGATGAAAATGCAATACGAAAGATGAAATAATCCGCTAGGTGCATAGGAGTCGAGAAATTTAAAAAAACACGATTTATAGAAGTATATAAATTAAATGGAAAGAAAAAACTCCAACACAATTAGCCGATCGCCAATTAGATCGAAGATTTTCAAAAACCGCATTTATGGCCTCTTTATTTGTATTTAGAAAGGTTGGATTTAAAATATTTTTTTTTACTCTTAACTTATTTTGTGCCAAATGAATGCAAATTAATAACTTATTTTTTTTTTTTGTAAAATGAAATTTTTTTGGCTTAGAAGGTGGATTTAGGTATTGCACTTTTTAATAAATTTTATCTTTTTACGTTAATAAGTTTGTCAGAATGAAATTTCGATCATGAGGTCGTCCGTATATTATCCTCAAAAATAATTAAAACAAAAAAAAATATGCAAATTTTCTAGGATATTTAAAAACAAAATTTGTAAAGACATTTTCCATACCCATTCGTCCTTATGCACCAAAAAATTTACTCTCTGTTATATTTTTACTGCATTTTTTTCTTACCCTTATTTTCCTACATTGTACTGAATTTTTTAAATAATTATTTGAAATAATCATATTTTTAAAACTTCCAAGTCCATTTAAGAAAATCCTGACGTCAGAGAGAAAAGACTAAGTACGCAGTTTTACTACAATTTACCCATAGTTTCGCGAGCATATTATTATTTTTTTTTTGTGTGTAAAATTTACTGTCGCTTGGTGTTATAATTGGTAGGATATTTTGTAACTTTCCTTCATCTGCTTGACATTCATCATCAATTTAACTTTATTTTATTTTGCTTTAGCTTCTATTTACATATGTAGAAGTTCTAAAAGTAGTTTAGCTCAACAAAATTTCATTGTAGTTTCCAAAGAAAAAAATGCGGATAATTTTCAGAGAAAATAGCTTAGGCAATTTTTAGTTCCAATGTATATTTAGGATTAAAGCCATAAAATTAACCATTTACTATTAATTGCCAAATAATTGTTAAACATTTTTCGCTTTAAAATATTTAATCAACTTAACTTTATTTAATTTTTTAAGTCATGTTAAAGTATTTAAAAAAGAATTCGTTTGGCCACTCAACCACATCGAAACAGCTTTATGTGGCAGCAGCGCGCTGTTAACTACATTGTACATGTGTATGTATGTATGTATGTAGCGTGTCCAAAAATACATAGCTTGAGCAAGTAAATTGGACTCTTGGCCAGAACACAAGTGGCTTTAAGCGAAGGTGTGGCCATAATTATTAGTTTGCACGTTCGTTAGCGCAGTGACCGTGATATCCATTTTCGGTGCAGCGAGGTGTCGTATAATTATTGCAAAGGCATTAATTACTGCAGGTACAGATTTTTCTTGTAGAGTACATATTGACAAAAAAAAAAAGATTGAATTATCTAATAAATAGTGTAATGAATGCTTATCAGCTGCGTAAAAAATGTCCATTGGCATATTTCTTAAATTCATACGAAAGAATTTNGCAGTGACCGTGATATCCATTTTCGGTGCAGCGAGGTGTCGTACAATTATTGCAAAGGCATTAATTACTGCAGGTACAGATTTTTCTTGTAGAGTACATATTGACAAAAAAAAATGATTGAATTATCTAATAAATAGTGTAATGAATGCTTATCAGCTGCGTAAAAAATGTCCATTGGCATATTTCTTAAATTCATACGAAAGAATTTTGATATAAGTTTGCAAAATGAAAGTAATCAAATAACTCAAATATCTGATCTGCAGTTTCACCACTCAATTTTAAAATTTATAAAACTGTTAAAATTTTGAATAACAAATTTTCCGCACAAAAGTGTGTAATTTTAAATTTTAGCAGGCTAATAAAATTAAAATTGATTGGCGCAACCGGACATGATAATGTAATATTCTAAAACGCAAAACTATTTTCTTGTGAAATCATAATCACAAAGGAAGGACATGCATACTTACATATACAAATATATATAATATATATATATATATCCATTAGCGCACACAAGGGGTGGCTTTTGGGGTTTAAACCCCCCCCTAAAGCTAATAACCTCAAATACAAACTGTATCTTAAAGCTAAGAATCCAGCTCTCAAGGAAATTATAAGAAATATTTATTCTAATTTCTGTTGCTTGAAAAAGCGCTTTGCTTTTGCTGTAAATTTTCATGAGGAAATGAATATACGAGCATTTGTTTCTTGAGAGCTGCAAACTGATTTAAGAAATTTTGGTAGAAGAAAATTTCTTTTCCATTTCTCGTCCGTCGTTTTATATGAATTTTTCGTTTTTCTTGAGAGTTCAGTTAATTTTTTCGGTATTCGAAATATTAAAAAAACTTAGACATCGTGAAAAATCACCATCTCTATCGAAAGACAGAAAGCAGAAATCGAAAAAAGGAAAATAAAAGTGCAAAAATTCATGGAATCAATAAAATTTTTTCTTAGGTACTTTTGAAAGTTGCGTGCATCTTGAGTTTATAGAACTTTTTATTAAACAAGTAGTTTTTAAGGAAAGAACATAACCGACTTCAATTCTCATATTCAAATTTAGGGGTACCGTTAATTTCTTCATGATCCAATCATCGGATCTCTAAACCAAATTACGGGACGA